TTTCAAGCTAATTTTCTATTACCCATGATGCAATGCGACCACGCCCTTTTTTTAAAAAAATGCATAAATACCATATTTTAAGGAAAGTTTCGGCAAAAAATGTAAATTTGAAGCTACTAAGAGCAAAAACAGTTAAAGGGATGCCAGAATTTGTTCATGTTCATCCAACGGAACTTGATAAATTGGTCTTGCTCTCCTTCGCTTTGACACAAGTGGTCCACAAATGTACCGCACAGTTCCTGGGAATACTCCTGCCACCTTATCATCTAGTTTGTATGTGCGATCAATAATGTTCTCCCTTAAAAAGAAATTTCCAAGAAGAACAGCTTCTCCTTTGGAATAAATGCTTCCACTATAAGGATCCTCAAAGTTTTCTTGAAGGGAAATGACTCCATTGCTAGTAACTTTAAGGAGGTAGTAATCATAGTGGCTATCATCTTCAGCTGCCACAGCCACAGTGCTTTCTTTCGTTGCCAGGTCGGCAACTTGAACTGAATGTTCAATGGTGCTTGCATCTTCAGTTGTCCTGGTCATGACACCTGAGGGCTCTCTTGACAGAACAATCTCCTTCCAGTTGCCCACCCATTCCTTATTTTCACAGCTGTCAAAATCCTCAACAATGCAACCATGGCAGTAACAAGACCTTTCTCTTGTGTAGACTTTTAGCTGTTCACTGCAAGTTCTTACAGAGTGTAGTTGGCGGATGCCTTTGACAGTGCAGAATCTTCCACCGTCCCTGTTACGTGCAACACTCAGCTCCCCAGTAGATGGCAAATAGAAAAAGATGCGCCGCTTTAACTGCACTGACTTCTGCCTAGCAGGAAATGAGGAAGCAGCTGGTTCAGAGAAGTTCTCTTTCAGAAAGTTACAAAGATCTTTTGCATTTGATAGTGTGGCTTTCCTGGAGAGAACTGCTGAGGTTGCCTTCTGTTTGACATGGGAGCCAGCTGCATCTTGTTCTCCCTTTGCATGGGAGGTGGCAAAGTAGTTTCGCTGGACTGTATATCCAAGAGTTGCCAGGGAACATGACAGGTCACCATAGCAGTGTCGGCTCTTGTACTGTCCTGCACATCCATCTGTGAATTCATGCATTTTCTTGATAGTGCAGTTTGATTCTTCTAAATGGTTTGAAATTAACTTCTGGATGTGAAGGACAGAGTCATGATCCTGGGTGACGTCATCGGAAATCACAAACAAATGCTCTTTACAAATTGCTGGTTCCTCTTCTGTGCTCTGGATGCCATCCACCTCAGCACTTGAATGCCTGTAAAGAATTGTGACATGAAGACTTACTTTGTTTACGTCAAAGTATTGGGACTGGATTTCATCTTGAAACCGACAGGCATAACCCTCGGAATAGTCGTGGATGCACACAGCTTGATCAAGAGGAAGGTTTTCAAGAAGAGAATCTAGCTGCTCCCTCTGCCATTTAGCAAGAAAGGAATGGTAAGGAAACTGTCCTAACAGCTGAATAAAATAATCAAACAGTTCCTTTGGTCCTGTGCACTTCTCGACAAGGGCTATTTTCTTCATGTCTTTTCCATCAGTGGTAAGTTTTCCAGTCGACACATAGTCATAACGCTTCCATTTCACTTCGTGATTGCCAACACCTTTCTCCTCTGGCAACAAAACCAAGTTGTGAACTCCACAGTCTTTGCACTCCCTTTTCAAGCATTTCAATTTATGATAGTCTTGATCTTCGGGTTTGGGACAAAGTGTTTGCGCAATAATATTTCCAACTGAGTTATACACTTCTGTAGCTGCTTGATTAGCTTCCCTGCTTTCATCAATCACTCTCTTCCTAAACTTCATGCAGTCTTTGAAGACAATTTGAAGTTCAACGTGCTGACGACACATGCAAGTCTGCCTATCTCGTTCCCTTGCCCCCCTAACAAAATAAGGCTTCAGGTTTTCAAATTTTCGCTGAGATATCTTTATCTCTGGATGCATTGACGCAAACTCTACGTAGGCTTCCGTTTGGGTTTTTTCAAGCACGTGTTTCGGATGTTCAACCCACGTTTTCACTCCAACGCGTTTTCTAATCAAGTCTTTCTTGTTTCCTGTCGGTCTACTTGCTACCATTTTCCAATAATCATAAACAAGCTCTTTGGTTTCTTCAGTGACTGCATCCCGCCTGGTTTTTCGTTTGGTTGCAAGCCAGCTTGACTCTTCACCTTTTAAGATCATTTCGCGTTTTTCAATTCCCGACTTGATGCTTCTTCTATCCAAGGCTATGAGCTTTGAAAGTGTCTTCTGGCTTCTACTCTTTTTAACATTTTGACCAAAAGAAAGTGATTTTGCCGCGACAAGTGCAGCTCTTCCTTTGTTTGACTTGTCATTTTTGACGGCTTTAAGGCCTTGGGTGAGATCGCTAGCAAGCGCTTTCAGTGCATTCACTTCTTTCTCCTCTTCTGGTGTTTTCATTAGTCCGCGTTTCTCGAGTACTTTCCTTGTACGTGGACTTTCTGATATAGCTGCCATTATTTCTGCTTTCTTCTCCGGTGTATCTGGGAGACTCTTCTTAGTTCGTCCAATGGCACGTTTCTTGGCCATCCTGTTTGGGAACGGCGTACCAGTAACGTCGATCGGTGTGGCTTCCGCTTGAACCTGTGCATTTTGGTCTTTCTTTTTTTGACGGTATCGCTTACTTCGTTCTCTAGCCATCTTTCTCTGTTCCTCAAGTTTCCCTTTATTTTTTGAACCTGTCTTTTGCTGGTTTCGTTCGCGCCGACGTTTCTTTGTGGCATCTTTGATAGGAACATTCCGCCGTTGTCCGCTCTTGGCTTCTCGACTTTTCTTTCTGGCTTCCACGACCTTTTCAATAATTTTCTCTCGGTTTTTCTCATAATGTGCTCTTCTTTTCTCTTGTCTTTCCTTCTTCTTTTGTTCTCGCCACATTTGAATCCTAGAAACTCCAGAATCCATAATCTTTGCATTCAATTTCACAGCCTTGTGCTTGCGAACAACACAGCCTTTTGTACTTACGTGTACTTGACTGCGTCCTTGAAACATGCGGCACGTGCTCAGGGGGTTTCCCGCTCATTTCTGACGAAATGCAATATTTTACTTCCTAATAAGGAAATCGAAAACAATGCTTGATTCTGTAGACTTTGGGACGATTTGGAAGCGAAGGAAGCCGTCAAAATGACTAGAGCGTCGCGCTTGTTTTTTCTCGAAATTCGATCACTTACCTTCCTCAGGATCAAACTTGTCGACCAAATGTTTCGAACAAAACTTATTGCTAATATTTTCGTCGGCTTTCAACGGATTCGATCAATTTTGGTAGCAAAATTTAGCTTGTTATTTGAGCATTTTGCGTATGTTAACATTTACACGCTCCAGTGCACTCTTCGTAAACAAGACGATTGGGAAATTCAATGACCAGAATTATCGCGCGGCAGATCACACCGCTTGCCAACTGTTTAGAACGCAGAAAAAAATTCATATCTCGACAACGCTTCAATAAAAACACAAAAAACGGAAGGAGAGCGAAAAGCAACTTATGAGCATTACATTTTGAGGTTAAATTGTTCTGTCACTCGGGAATTATGACTCGCACAATGAATTGAAAATGATCTGTCTCTACCAAGCTTTAAGCGTGATGCATTATATGTTGAACACTTTTGTTGATTTTAACAAAGATTTAGCCCCAATTGTCAGGATTTTGTTTGCCACTTCGCTTAAAAGGGAACCATTTTCATCACCTGTTAAGTTTTACGGCTATAGACGAAACTTACGCTGGCAAAAACAGAAAAACAGTGAATAGTGAAGCCCACGCGAGTTACGCGTGACGCCATGTTTTTGTCGCTAACTTTACAATTCGGCTCCGATTCAATTTTTTCAAAAAACCTTTATTCTACCTCTGTTTAGTCCAAAATCATCTTTAACATATGTGTAACTATTTTGGAAAGTCTCAAGCAGGTCCGATCATTGTGCGCCGAGAAATTCTTAAAAGATTCGAGCAAATCCGTGATTTTTCCATTTGCGCGTGACAAGCGTGCTACTGATCTTAGAAAAATACAACGACTATACTTTCGTCCTTACAAGCCTGTTTTGTAATTGCTGACTCATCAGGGCATTTAAAAAATTCACAATGACTACGGCTTGCACGTTGTGAAGATTTGGTTTGTGCAAATCCCCTCCCCTCTCCCTTTCACCCCCTGGGCAAAACTTTTGTTCAAATCCTCCATGCAAGTGCTTGAATTGATTGTTAATTGTTGTGTAAAGGGCAAGATTAGCAATTGTGACTTCATTGTAGACCTTTCTCAGCAGTCTGCTCACGAAAGTGAACCTTTTCCCCTCAAACAGCTCCATATTAAAAGGTTGATAATATACATGAAAAACTTATGCATGCTAATGGACCGAAAACAAGTGCAAATTTCTAACTTAAGTGCAAAGTTTGAACATGCGGGTAAAATTTAAAATAGAGCACAGTGCTGTCAAAATTTCATCTGGGTTGACTTTGTGTGATGCCTTTTTCATGTGATAACAAGTAACATGATTTATTGTGCAATTTGCTGCGGATAAGAGGTAGTAAATTTTTCAAAGACTGCAAACAGCACTCGCCCTATGAACTCTAGCAGTTGTGTTGCCTTTACAAACTTCAAACATGCCTATTAACACCAAATTGCACTTGCAATCATGTTATTACCCATAGAAAACACATCTAGAATGCTGGAAAGACTGGACAGTTCTTGGTCAATTTCCTCTCCCCACTCAGGCAAGGTTTAAAATCCCCCCTCCCCCCTGGCACAGATGCTAATACAATGCCAGTAGGTTACTCTTATGGTGTTTAGACCTGGATGAAATACGACAATCATAGTATTGTGAGACTCCCCTAGAAACGGAAATGAATTATTTTTTAAACAGTTTTAGGAAGTATTAATTGGTTTGCCTTTCATAAGCTTGCACAAGAATTCAGAAAGTAATCGAGCATAGGTTAGGTACAAGTCATATGCTCCAGCAGCTGCAGTAGTAATCAAATTAAGTTATCATTTCATTACTTTTATCTTCTAGATACACCTGTTGCCAAGATGGAAGTGAGTATCACTGCTGCGCAATGCAACGGGCAGTGTGTTGTCCTGATAAAATCCACTGCTGTCCCCAAGGTTACACTTGCTCTAAAGATGGTAAAACTTGTTCATCTGGCTCTGATACTGTAGCTTCACTAACGAGTACATCACCCAAAGCTCTGAAGAAACCCTTGGAGAGATTATTGGACCTAATCAAGGGAAGATATTCTCACAAGAAGACGTTGCTCTTAAAGCATTCAACGGTCAAAATGGAAAAGATATCAGCATCAAAAAGAAGAGACCATGATAAAACACCTCCGATAAAAAAAACACCAGCATTAAGAAATGATTCTAAAGTAGAAATTGTCATCTGCCCTGGTGGTAAGTCTGAATGTCCAGATGGAAACACTTGTTGTAAACTTTCCACAGGGGGATGGGGCTGCTGTCCACTTCCTGAGGCTGTCTGCTGCAGTGACGGAGTTCATTGTTGTCCAAGTGGAACCACCTGTGATCTCGCAACGGGAACTTGTGACAGAAACACAGATAAAGCATTTCTTCTTAAAAAAACACAAGTATGGATAGGAAAAGCAGGAAAGAGCAATACTATCTGTCCTGATGGTGAGTCCCAGTGCCCAGATGGAAACACTTGCTGTAAACTTTCTTCAGGTCAATATGGTTGTTGTCCTCTTCCAAAGGCCGTTTGCTGCAGCGATGGAAAGCACTGTTGTCCCAATGGATATACTTGTCACCTTTCAGCAGGAACCTGTACGCAAGGAAGCAGCAGTATAGCTATGTTTCAGAAAAAGCCAGCAAAGAAAAGAGAAAGTGCTGCAAGTAACATTGTTTGTCCTGATGGCGAGTCCGAGTGTCCAGATGATACCACTTGCTGTAAACTTTCTTCAGGTCAGTACGGTTGTTGTCCTCTTCCAAAGGCTGTTTGCTGCAGCGATGGAGAGCACTGCTGTCCTAATGGATATACATGTGACATTTCTGCTGGAACCTGCTCCAAAGGAACCACTACTTTAATTTTGTTGCAGAAGTTGCCAGCTGTTCAAAGAAAGAGTGATGCAAATAGTGTTGTTTGTCCTGATGGTGAGTCCCAGTGCCCAGATGGAAACACTTGCTGTAAACTTTTTTCAGGTCAATATGGTTGTTGTCCTCTTCCAAAGGCCGTTTGCTGCAGCGATGGAAAGCACTGCTGTCCCAATGGATATACTTGTGATGTGTCAGCTGGAACCTGTACACAAGGAAGCAGCAGTATAGCTATGTTCCAGAAAAAGCCAGCAATGAAAAGAGAAAGTGCTGAAAGTAACATTGTTTGTCCTGATGGTGAGTCCGAGTGTCCAGATGATACCACTTGCTGTAAACTTTCTTCTGGTCAGTACGGTTGTTGTCCTCTTCCAAAGGCGGTTTGCTGCAGCGATGGAGAGCACTGTTGTCCTAATGGATATACGTGTGACGTTTCCCCTGGAACCTGCTCCAAAGGAACCACTAGTATAACTTTCTTGCAGAAGTTGCCTGCTGTTCAAAGAAAGAGTGACGCAAATAGTGTTGTTTGCCCTGATGGTGACTCCCAGTGCCCAGATGGAACCACCTGCTGTAAGCTTTCTACAGGTCAATATGGTTGTTGTCCTCTTCCAAATGCTGTATGCTGCAGTGATCGAGAGCACTGCTGTCCTAATGGATATACTTGTGATGTATCTGCAGGATCCTGTACGCAGGGAAGCAGCAGTATACCTATGGTGCAGAAACTGCCAGCATTAATGAGAGAAAAGAGTGCCAGTAACGTTGTTTGTCCTGATGGCCAGTCTGAGTGTCCAGATGGAAACACTTGCTGTAAACTTTCTTCAGGTCAATACGGTTGTTGTCCTTATCC